TGGAGCTGAAGAAACAGGAAAAAGCAAGAGTTATCGATTTTATTATCTATCTATCTATCTATCTATCTATCTATCTATCTATCTATCTATCTATCTATCTATCTATCTATCTATCTATCTATTTATCTATGATGACCAGACCACACACTAGAAGGTGAAGGGACGACGACGTTTCGCTCCGTCCTGGACCGAAATCTACTTGAGAATGGTCCAAGACGGACCGAAACGTCGTCGTCCCTTCACCTTCTAGTATGTGGTCTGGTCAACTTACTTTAGCCACGTTATTGTGACTCATCGCCTGCATGTCCTAGATGGGTTTAGCTAGATGTGCGAGGAGGCGGTCAAGCATCGACTCCTGGGCCCCGCCTCACAAGCATAATATAATGTAAGGACTTACCGTTCACAGGGACTCTATAGGAGACTCGAACCACGGATCCCACGTGTATGTGAGACTGAAGCTCTATCAACCGAGCTATTCAGTGACCTTAATAAGGAAAGTGGAATGTTTATTTCCCCGCAAGTGTGGAGGACAATTTCTAATGTAGACAATTTCTAATTTCTCTAAGAGGCGCCGGTCGGCCGAGCGGACAGCACGCTGGACTTGTGATCCTGTGGTCCCGGGTACGATCCCGGGTGCCGACGAGAAACAATGGGCAGAGTTTCTTTCACCCTATGCCCCTGTTACCTAGCAGTAAAATAGGTACCTGGGTGTTAGTCAGCTGTCACGGGCTGCTTCCTGGGGGTGGAGGCCTGGTCAAGGACCGGGCCACGGGGACACTAAAGCCCCGAAATCATCTCAAGATAACCTCAAGATAAGATGTAATGACAATTCCCATTTTTGCCTTACCGGAGTGACATGTTAAAATGAGTTTACCTTAGTTTACCTTACCTGAGTTTACCTTAACTTCCTTGTCTGACACATTCCACTTGACTACTTGTATATTATAAGAAAGAACATAAGAACAAAGGTAACTGCAAAAGGCCTATTGGCCCATACGAGGCAGCTCCTATTCTATAACCACCCAATCCCACTCATATACATGTCCAACCCACGCTTGAAACAATCGAGGGACTCGACCACCTCCACCACGTTACGCGGTAATTGGTTCCACAAATCAACAATCCTGTTACTGAACCAGTATTTACCCAAGTCTTTCCTAAATCTAAACTTATCCAATTTATACCCATTGTTTCGTGTTCCAGTTCTAACACTTAAAACTTGTTATGGTATTACTGTGAGACATATTTGTGTTCCAATAGTGTCCAGTTTTGGTCCTTAGTTCTGCTGTTCCTAGCTGTGAATAGTGCAGCCTTGCTCACTTTGTCAAGTCCCCTTAGAATCTTACAGGTCCCCTTAGAATCTTACACTTCCCCGTAGAATCTTACACTTCCCCGTAGAATCTTACAGGTCCCCCTTAGAATCTTACAGGTACCCTTAGAATCTTACAGGTTCTCTTAGAATCTTACAGGCCTCCTTAGAATCTTACAGGTCCCTTAGAATCTTACAGGTCCCTTTAGAATCTTACAGGTCCCCTTCAACTCTTACAGGTCCCCTTAGAATTTTACTTGTCCCTTTAGAATCTTACAGGTCCCCGTAGAATCTTACAGTTCCCCGTAGAATCTTACAGTTCCCCGTAGAATCTTACAGTTCCCCGTAGAGTCTTACAGTTCCCCGTAGAATCTTACAGTTCCCCGTAGAATCTTACAGGTCCCCCTTAGAATCTTACAGGTACCCTTAGAATCTTACAGGTTCTCTTAGAATCTTACAGGTCTCCTTAGAATTTTACAGGTCTCCTTAGAATTTTACAGGTCCCTTAGAATTTTACAGGTCCCTTTAGAATCTTACAGGTCCCCTTCAACTCTTACAGGTCCCCTTAGAATTTTACTTGTCCCTTTAGAATCTTACAGGTCCCCGTAGAATCTTACAGTTCCCCGTAGAATCTTACAGTTCCCCGTAGAATCTTACAGTTCCCCGTAGAATCTTACAGTTCCCCGTAGAATCTTACAAGTCCCCCTTAGAATCTTACAGGTACCCTTAGAATCTTACAGGTTCTCTTAGAATCTTACAGGTCTCCTTAGAATCTTACAGGTCCCCTTAGAATCTTACAGGTCCCTTTAGAATCTTACAGGTCACCTTCAACTCTTACAGGTCCCCTTAGAATTTTACTTGTCCCTTTAGAATCTTACAGGTCCCCCTTAGAATCTAACAGGTCCCTTAGACTCTTACAGGTCCCTTTAGAATCTTACAGGTCACCTTCAACTCTTACAGGTCCCCTTAGAATTTTACTTGTCCCTTTAGAATCTTACAGGTCCCTCTTAGAATCTTACAGGTTCTCTTAGAATCTAACAGGTCTCATTAGAATCTTACAGGTCTCCTTAGAATCTTACAGGTTCTCTTAGAATCTTACAGGTCCCTTTAGAATCTTACAGGTCTCCTTAGAATCTTACAGGTCCCTTTAGAATCTTACAGGTTCTCTTAGAATCTTACAGGTCCCCTTAGAATCTTACAGGTCCTCTTAGAATCTTACAGGCCCCTTTAGAATCTTACAGGTCACCTTCAACTCTTACAGGTCCCCTTAGAATTTTACTTGTCCCTTTAGAATCTTACAGGTCCCCCTTAGAATCTAACAGGTCCCTTAGACTCTTACAGGTCCCTTTAGAATCTTACAGGTCACCTTCAACTCTTACAGGTCCCCTTAGAATTTTACTTGTCCCTTTAGAATCTTACAGGTCCCTCTTAGAATCTTACAGGTTCTCTTAGAATCTAACAGGTCTCCTTAGAATCTTACAGGTCTCCTTAGAATCTTACAGGTTCTCTTAGAATCTTACAGGTCCCTTTAGAATCTTACAGGTCCCCTTAGAATCTTACAGGTCCCCTTAGAATCTTACAGGTTCTCTTAGAATCTTACAGGTCCCCTTAGAATCTTACAGGTCCTCTTAGAATCTTACAGGTCCCTTTAGAATCTTACAGGTCCCCCTTAGAATTTAACAGGTCTCTTAGAATCTTACAGGTTCTCTTAGAATCGTACAGGTCCCCTTAGAATCCTACAAGGTCCCTTTAGAATCTTACAGGTCCCCTTAGAATCTTATAATGTCCCTTAGAATCTTGCAATTTATCTTAGAATCTTACAGGTCCCCTTATAATCTTACAGATCTCTATTATGTATCTGTTTATTCCTCGTCTCTTCCACTTTAGTGGAGAGGATCCGACAGTCTGTTCTCGTAGCTCAAGCCCTTCAGCTCAGGGACGAGTCTTGTCGTATTTCTTCGGACCTTTCATAGTTTTGTCTACTTTTTCACGTAAATGTTCCGTGCTGTGGGTTACATACTGAAGACGAGTCCCACATGAATTGTATATGTGTATAACGAGAGGCCATGTATAACGAGACCATGTATAACGAGAGGCCATGTATAACGGGAGGGCCATGTATAACGAGGCCATGTATGAAAGCTACAATCGCAGAGGAAGCACCGAACGAAAAAGATCTGGAGTCAGTGTATTTAAGGGTCCGACGGCTAGAGAGGCGGGGCCCAGGAGCTGAAACTCTTCACTAAGAACTGGTAGGTGAAAATACAGACCCAGAAAGTAATAACTGTGACTCTCCGTGCCGGAGTTGCCACAGTTACACACCTGAAACAATTTCCATATCCGCGACACACCTGATAACTCTTGTCCACAACTTGAAAAAAAAAGATACTGAAAGGGGAGAGAGAGAACTGAATCCTATTTTCCGAAATGCAAAAACTGTTCCCAATATATTGCATCCTGTTCATCCTGTTCACCCTGTTCATCCTTCAAGGTCTTTAGCTCCGTGTTCCCCTCCACCCTTTTCATCCACCCAGTTCTTTCCCCTTTTTCCTCTGTCCACCCTAAGGCCCCTCTCCACCTCACGGTCGCTGGGAGACGAAGATGGTAGCTCAGTCGATTAAGGCAGCGTCTGGGGGATGCTCTCAGACGTAGGTTCGAATCCTCGTCACGGCCCTTGTGCATTTGTTCATTTGATGCATCACGTTAGTGTGATCTCTGTGTGTAATGAAGATAGCAAGTTGGTGAGGTATTAGGAAAGTGAGCGACGCCTTCGTCAGGCTCTGAAGTCGAAGTTCAAAACGAAGTTCTGAAGTTCCTGATCTATTATCGTACCATTAATCCTACGTTATCGAGTGTTGCTGGATTATTCTCTTCCCATTTATATCAAGGTGATAAGGGATATTGTTGATACGAATTTAAGCCTTGCAGTGAAAACGTAAGAATTCCTCCTATAATAATAGGATATTCCTATAATAATAATTTATCCTATAATTATATATAGACCTATAATATAACCTTGTATATACACAAGACTATAATATAGTCTTGTGTATAACCCTTTGTCCTGCGTGGGAGTGAATACCAGCATTATCCTCACTTTAATAAGACATAATCGAAATCCTCAGATTAGGCAAAATTGTAATTAATTTTTGTCAATAAAGATGTTAATAATAAATAAATCATTTATTATAACGATCTTTGTACAGCTTCCTTTATTATGAGAAGTAACCTCTCTGCCTGCCTGCCTCTCTGCCTGCCAGTCCAGCAACCAGGAGGCCTGGTCGACGACCGGGCCGCGGGGACACTAAGCCCCGGAAGCACCTCAAGGTAGCCTCAAGGCAAGGTAGCCTCTGATAAACTGAGATGTATTAATATAGTGTATGAATACAAATACAATTCTGGAGACTGTACTCCGAAATGTATGATCTATTGGACATTTACTCACCTCACTGTGAGTAAATGCTTACTCATTACTCATTTCTTAAATGAGTAAATGCTTAAAATTCATTGGCAAGAAGGATATATTTAGCAACATCACTTTCAACACCACAAGACCAACCCGAATCACCAGGATTATCTTGAGGTTATCTTGAGATGATTTCGGGGCTTTTTAGTGTCCCAGCGGCCCGGTCCTCGACCAGGCCTCCACCCCCAGGAAGCAGCCCGTGACAGCTGACTAACTCCCAGGTACCTATTTTACTGCTAGGATAGTGAAGGAGACCACAATAATCACACACTGGTGATTGACCACACTGGAACTGCTTGAAGGGAATTGCTTGAGGGGAACTGCTTGAGGGGAACTGCTTGAGGGGAACTGCTTGAAGGGAACTGCTTGAGGGGAACTACTTGATAGGAACTGCTTGAGGGGAACTGCTTGATGGGAACTGCTTGAGAGGAACTGCTTGAGGGGAACTGCTTGAAGGGAACTGCTTGAGGGGAACTGCTTGAGGGGAACTGCTTGAAGGGAACTGCTTGAAGGGAACTGCTTGAGGGGAACTGCTTGAGGGGAACTGCTTGAAGGGAACTGCTTGAGGGGAACTGCTTGAGGGGAACTGCTTGAAGGGAACTGCTTGAGGGGAACTGCTTGAGGGGAACTGCTTGAGGGGAACTGCTTGAAGGGAACTGCTTGAGGGGACTGCTTGAGGGGAACTGCTTGAAGGGAACTGCTTGAAGGGAACTGCTTGAGGGGAAACTGCTTGAGGGGAACTGCTTGAGGGGAACTGCTTGAGGGGAACTGCTTGAGGGGAACTGCTTGAGGGGAACTGCTTGAAGGGAACTGCTTGAGGGGAACTGCTTGAGGGGAACTGCTTGAAGGGGCTTGAGGGGAACTGCTTGAGGGGAACTGCTTGAGGGGAACTGCTTGAGGGGAACTGCTTGAAGGGAACTGCTTGAGGGGAACTGCTTGAGGGGAACTGCTTGAGGGGAACTGCTTGAGGGGGAACTGCTTGAAGGGAACTGCTTGAGGGGAACTGCTTGAGGGGGAACTGCTTGAAGGGGACTGCTTGAGGGGAACTGCTTGAAGGGGACTGCTTGAGGGGAACTGCTTGAGGGGAACTGCTTGAGGGGAACTGCTTGAAGGGGAACTGCTTGAGGGGAACTGCTTGAGGGGAACTGCTTGAGGGGGAACTGCTTGAAGGGAACTGCTTGAGGGGAACTGCTTGAGGGGAACTGCTTGAAGGGAACTGCTTAAGGGGAACTGCTTGAAGGGAACTGCTTGAGGGGAACTGCTTGAGGGGAACTGCTTGAAGGGGAACTGCTTGAGGGGAACTGCTTGAAGGGAACTGCTTGAGGGGAACTGCTTGAAGGGAACTGCTTGAGGGGACTGCTTGAGGTCATGTTCACTGGGGAACTGACGCAAGTCACTATCATTCAGGTGACTGCAACTTTGAACAAAGAGCTGTTCGAGGCACCTCCACTGATCCAGAGAGAAGATAGCAGATCAACTACATAGTGATAGTGGAGATAGTGAAGATAGTGGACAACTACAAGCTGGAACTAGACATCAATCACCTCACCCAATCCGCTTTTGACGATTGAGTGCCACTCAATCGTAGACTGGTCCACTTATAAAATGTCCAAGTGTGTCCAAGTTCGATACCTGTATACCTTGTGACAAACTGTATATCCCTAAAGATATCACAATGTTGACGAA